TTTTCAGTATATTTTTCACTGTTTGCTCTGTACGATTTTGGTCAAGTTTGTGTATTTATACTGATTCATCAATCAAGAATGACTTTTGTTGCAATGTAATTTTCACCTGTTTTCAGGAGTTGTAAAGTAATGTTGAGGCTTAGTTGTGCTATGAGCTTCCCAAGGCGATGGCTTTTTCAATGAGGAGACATAAACTGGCTTCCTCAGTTTGAGGAGGGTACAGCTTGCAAAAACTTATCCACCTCAGGGTGAATTTATTACATTTCTGAAGCTTTTCTATATTTTTATGCAACTGCAGATGTACCTTTAAAATGGGAAACAAATGTTTGAACTAAAATTGAGTGTCAGTGTAAAGTTTCAAACACTGTCAGATCCTTGTCATTCAGGTTACTTTCACTTCTATGTCAGCTTTTCCAACGCATTTCTTCAGAGAAACCATTCCTCAATTTCATTTCTGTCTACTAACTCTTCAGAGTAACTTCTGTCAAGTTTTTACACACCACATGATTACATAATTGTCTTAAATTTTAGTAAGGTCATCGGATTGATAATGATATAAACCATCACTATGCTCATCGTTGTGATTATCCAATCGGGATATTTTTACTAATTTTGTTTGTCAAGAATTCTCGGCTGTAATTCGCTAGTACTTGAATTGAAGACTGCATTGAGTAGGATTCATCAGAGTCGATTTATATACCTCAATCCAGCATGGCTATGTTTATAGTATACTCCCAATGGGCAGGTATGAGCTGCTGACAACCTGTGCAAGATTTAGAGCGTGGCTAGCCTAATTGTGACCCAAGTCATATGGATCAGTGGAAAGCCAGGCAAAGTTGGGGCTTCTCGACTGAGGCCATGCTGGCTCAGGCTGTTTTTAACCACATTTTGATGATTAAATTCTAAAAAAAGGGATCTAGCTGAATTTTTCTGTCATAAATTGTTGATGCTAAGTGATTGGTGCCACATTTCGGAAATTATTAAGAATGATGAAATGGATGCCTAGGAAGAAGGTAAGGAAAGTATAGATTTTTTTTTTATTATACTTGGCAAAGTAATTGAAATTTCATATTTTTTATATAGTCTTTTTTAGAATTAGTTTTACTATTCCCATATTTTCCACAGTAACATACAATCTAATAAATTTATAAAATCATTGCGTTTATAATGTGTGTTTACTTTTAAGTTTATCTATACTTTAGTTTATACTAAAAATATTAATAATAGTTAAAATGTTGCACATATAGAGTGAAGAGTTTGATCTTTTACATTCCTCATATTTTATTCTTGGTGTCTAGATATTTGTTGTAAATCACATCAAGATAACTGTTCACGATATCTTAAATGTTATTGTAAATCATAGAACATTCATAAAAGGGGTTTGATATCGTATATCATAAAAAACGTGGGGAAAGCAACATATCAACAGAGTTAGATTTAAACATATGAGATGTGACTATATTCAAATCATTCCAATGTTTGTCTGCGGATGAAAAGCTAATAAAACAAGCAAGACCTGTGAAGACATAAGTACACCTTTGAACAAAGACGTTCAAATCAAGTTCAATTTAATAATCATGTTTCTAGAGGGAGTAATAGTGGTGAAATTTTTGACATTCAGTTAGAAAGTATGATTTGTTTACTAAACAACTTGAAAAAGTAAATTATATTTTGAATTGCTTAACTTATTTTGTTTACTTTAGTGTGGCAATAAGGTTACAGTAGTATCCTTCATTTGGAAAATTAGAACTTTTTTTTTTAAATTATTTGTCTTAGAATCATCCCTAGAAATTTATAGACAAAAAAAATCAGAAAAATACAAAACAGAAACAAAATATGCATTATACTTATTTATTTGTATTATATTATGAAATTTACAATTAATGATTTCAAATTTTTTCAAATTTTCTTTTTTGGCTTGTAATGTTATATTTCTCAGTTTGCTTCAATGATTCTTACTTTTGTTTTTTTACGTCATGTACTTAAAACTTTGTATAATTTGTATTTAAGTCAAAACGGTCTTGTGAAAAAGACATTTTATGTGACATGTTTCTCCGTTTGTAAATAAAGTTGTTGTTGTTGTTGTTGTTGTTGTTGTTGTTGTTGTTGTTGTTGTTGTTGTTGTTGTTGTTGTTGTTATAAGAAGGGAAGGACGTGCCAAGCACCTTATATCTCACCTTAGATAGGTTATCAAAGTTAAAATATCCTGTGAAAGTTTTACATTAAAAAAATTAGAAAAGGTATTTAGTTTGATTGACTGTACAATACATTATTTAGATTATAGATAGAAATTATAAACATAAGTGTTAATACAATAGGAAATTACAAGTAATATTAATTAAATATTGAAAAATATAACATAAATATTGCAAATATAATTGAAGGTAAACAGAAAAGGTAGGGCAACTTGAAATTGCTTGTGAAGGCCTATATAAAAATATAGTAATTGTAGTACAGGACATTATAAAATGATGTGCATTTACTGTGTAATTATTTAATACTTCTAGAATGTGAAGCTTGGAGGGCTACAATAAGGTACTTTGCCAGTATTTTCTACACCGCTCTTATGGAAAAGTTTTGAAATAATTTGTATCCTTATATATTTTAGTATAATCCTAATAGCCTACCTAATTACAAGGAACATATTTATTAAATACAATTCTAAACAATGACATGCCATTGGAACAATTGAAGTATAAGGTATTGATGTCTCAAAATAATAGATTATATTATCCCCAGACATCCCCCAGGAACCCCTGAGACATCACCTGAACCCCACTGTGTCATAAATTCCAAATATTAGCTCTATTTTTTCCTGGTCAGTGGGTGTGTCTATTGATAGAATCATGTGTTTAACAGTTTACATTTCACAACATACAGTAATATGAACAGTAGCTTCATAACCTTGTGTAAAAATCTGTTTTAAGGTACCATACTTTGTCATATTCTGAGATAGAGTCTCTAAATAACATTCAGTTTAAGCAATGTAGAATCAAAGTAGCTCTGTTATGTGACTGAAAATAACATTTATTTTTGTTTAAATCAGTGTTCCTTTTTTTGCATGAATGTATTCATAAATTTTAGTAACTTGTTCAAAGGTTTTGTTTCTCAATAGTAGACTTGAAATTGGAAACATTTGAAGATTTATATTTCTTAAATATTTTTTTTTCAATGTAAATTTGATATGGTTTTATGGGAAAATATGTCAGAGGGTATCAAAGCTGTCCATTCCATGTTTTCAAGATCATTTTAAAATCAATATTCCAAAGATCTTTCGCAAAACAATTGGTGTTCAGTACGACTTGTGGCTTCACAATATATAACATAGATTAAATGTTAATAAAGTTGATAATGACTGCTTCCTTTAGTTTAGGCAAGGACAGGTGTTGGGGCATGCTACGGATATTCATTACGATAGAAGATTGAAGGGCTATGCATATCTTGGTTTTTGTAACGAGGGAAAATTAATGAGTTAAGGAGTGATGTATAAACTACAAGTATTTTAATGATTATACAAATTAGGGCTGAATTTTCACTATTTCACAGTTACTGTAGTCATTTACCTACTCCTTCTTTTATCCCTTTATTCATTTATTCATCTATCTATTTATTCATCCTTTCTTTAAATAATAATAGGCTAAACAATAGAATAACGATTGTTTACTAATTTATGTTTATTTAATTATATTTTACCATTCCAACAGAGAAAAATTTACACAAACAGATATAAGTACCATAACGACTTATGAAAAAACAGCTTTTGGCACCTTTTTGTAAGGTTGTCAGTCCTGATTTTAAATAATTATTATTAAAAGTATATTTTGATATGGAAACTTGTTTGTCCAGAGGGTGCTATTCTACAAGGCTGTGTGCCATTGTTAAATTTTGGAGATGAAACTTTAAAGCAAAACAAAAGAGCAAAATTGAATAATCAGTCAATGTGAAAAACTTACGAAAGAGTAATGCCATAATACAAGATTATATGTTCTAATCTAAAGCATGTTGAATATTATGGTTGCTATGTCTGACAATAACTTTAGAAAGACATTAGAACATTACCTTTGTCTTCTTTGTAAATGAAAGACACATTAATTATGAGCCAATAATTGAAAAGTTTATAATGTTTACACAAACAAGTAAGACAAAGAATACAGTCAAAACTGCCATTTGTTATGTAGCAAAATCTCATTGTTCAATTATAATTGTATTTTGGTAGTGTGTTTTAATAGTGTACCATTATTGTTTTGCAATATTTTAAAAGAGAAAGTAAGAAATTAAAAATCTTAATTTGTATTCTTCCAGATTTGTGCAGGTGCCTAGGCATTTATTAAATAAACATTTATATTTTCACTGAAATTATTACAGTATATGAGATTCAATCAACAAAATGTAGGATTGATTTTAGGCTGTTCTTTATTAACAGCTGCAAGTATTTATAATGATTTATTTCCTGAATTCAAATCTATATATGCAATAGTAGGTCCATAGCAATTGATTTCATGGAAAATGGTAGCATTGTCACCTGTACAGATGCATTTAACAAGGTCATTTTGAAGTTGAAAGAAAGTTAAAAATAAAAAAATCCGGCATTGAAGTAACATACTGTATAAATAAAAAGAGTACAGTGATAAATAAGACATTCTAAGAAAAACTAAAAAAACCGTATAAAAAACTAGAAATTTTAGAAATTGCATTTCATTAAGTTTTAAAGTTTTCAACTTGGTCCTCAAAATATACCAGAAAATCAAAAATTTGCACTAAGTGCTCAACTCGGTACATATTTACATGGACCATGGATAACCAGCCTTGCATTTGGTTCAGTTTACTGCAATTCCACATAATTATTGATTGTCATACAAAACTTTTCAGATTTACATTTTCTTTCTTTTTTGTCAATGAAACATTTTTTCTGTTTAGTAATTTTATTTGCAATCTGCTGGTCTTTCAGAAATCTATTTATATTTATTAATAAATTTCTCATTGATCCTTCATTTCCTCAGGCTTATTATCGTCAAGGTGTTGCTCTTCAATGTCTAGGCCGACATGCTGATGCTTTGGCTGCATTTTCTTCAGGATTAGCACAGGAGCCTAAGAGCTTACAACTGCTGGCAGGTTTGATAGAAGCTGCTTTGAAATCTCCACTGAAAGGTAAGATATATTTAGCCACCAATGGTTTATGGAAATAATAAAAAATAACAACAAGATAATCTAAGATTACAAACCCTCGCCATGTTGCGCCATATCTGTGCACTAAAAAAATAAGGCCTATGGTTGATCCGCTCTAGTCGACTTGGCCTAGCCAAATGAGGCCAAACTATCTGCTCAAGTTGGCTCTGTCTGTTGCGGCTGGAAAATATATAAATATTGACACTAAAATCGGCTTCTTCTGATCAGCACTACATTCAAGAAGTGCGAGATACATGTAACATTGTCAATGTGTGAAAACTTGAAGTAAATCGTTCCAGTAGTTTTTGAGTTATGTTCCCAAAATGACACACATACAGATGTGTGCTTGCAATACCCTTCACCTCTGCTTTGGAGAGGCAAAGGTAACTGCAGTAATGGGTTCATTGATTGCTTATTTCCCATGTTAATTTGTTTTGTAAAAGGATTCTTCTCATGTTAGGTTACAAGTAAAATTCTAATTACTAAATCAAATCTTTCTTCTCCAGACACATTTGAGCCAACATTTGAACAGTTGAAGTCTATGAAATTGGACAAAAGTCCATTTGTAATCATCTCTGTGATTGGTCAAGATCTCTTAGCTGCTGGTTACCATGCATCCTCATTGGTCGTTTTAGAATCAGCTTTGAAAATAGGTAGGTATACTTTCAGTCATTTGGTAGACAATACACTAAGTGAAATACTGATTTCAATCCCAAAATGCTATGTAGAGCACTGTACTTTCTATTTTGAGAACTAGTGGGACATAGCTTTTTTAACAATATCCAGGTATATACCTTTCCAGTATTGTAAGCACCGCCCCTTAGATGTTATTGCTAAAGTGTAGGACATGTGCACGTTCATAGCTGTTAAATAAAATGTTCTCATTGGCCAGTTGTTAAGTTTGATTGACATTCCAGAAAGGTCTATTAGGACTAATAATAGTTCTTCAAAAAGTAAGCATTTTGAAGAACTTCTGTTACATCGCAAGTTTTGAACAAATTTTGCACTGAAAGATCTTATTTTACGCCTCATAAAAAAGCCTGTTGTTGATGCGCTTGACCAAGTGTTTATTTTGTGAATAGATTATTTTCACCTGAACTTTTCTAACATAAACTGCTCTAATGATCACTCGGGTATCAGTGACAGCCCAGCCCCCATTCCTCCCCCCCCCCCCCCCCTTAAAAAAAATTTTATATAGAAAAATGGAGAAAAAAGGAAAATATTAATCAAATTTACTATAGGTCTGAGATTGCCATTCCCAGCCATCTAGAGGTGGTCTAAACTCTCCATCTGTGAAAGTCCCTCCCTAGGGGACCCCCCCCCCATTTTGAATTCCTGGATCCGCCACTGGGTGTAAAAATGAATACTAATAATTTCATCCAAAGTATAGTGTAGCATGCAAGTTTAAATTCAGTATTTATTTTTATTTTAAGTGTGGTATATTATAAATATAATTTGAATTTTTATCTTCTTAAAATGTTTTTGTAGGCACGTGTAGTTTAAAATTACGTGGATCGGTATTCTCGGCACTGAGCAGTGCTCATTGGGGCTTGAGCAACTCGGACAAGGCTGTCAACTATATGCAACAGGATCTTTCAATTGCTAAATCACTAGGTAAGTCTGGCAATTGGAATGTCTAGGGTTTTTACTATTGAACTGAAAACTTAAAACACCCATGAATCAATGTTCTGTATGTTGAAATGTGGATTGAAATTTACTGTCAGTTTGTTCATTGTCAATCATTTGTGACCCCTTTTTACGCATAAACTAATGTCATGAAGATATAGGTTGTCTGCTTTGAGCTAACAGAGCTTGGTAAAATACCTTTTCGTTTATACAGCATTTTTTGATGACTATTGAGTGCACACTCTAACCCTTATCCTAAAGATAAGTAAATACCTGCTATATATATATATATATACTCTGTTTAATAATTAAATTTTTGAATTGCAAGAAAATGTTTCTTACCAATTAGGTGATGCATAATTTTTTTGTTTTTTAATATAACATTTACAATACAAAAAATACATAAGACATCACAAAATTTAACCCATATGTCTAAAAAACTATCCACATGGGATAGAAACATGTTCCTATTTCCTATTACATCTAACCCAGATACCTCCCGCTAATGTAGCTACTGTAAATTAGAATGCTACTTTCAAAACCGAAAGAGTGGTCTCTTAATTGGGATGTCTCCTACAAAGGGGTCAGCAGTAGTGTTAACAAGAAAAATTTTTCCTCCTTTGCAGCTGTAAAGGAGGAGGTTCTACTGGATGCATCTTGTTTAAGGGAAATGACGTTAAAGGAGGCTTGGGTCCCTGGCTAAGTTTTCTTACCATGGGGGGGGGGCTGGGATACCTGGTGAAGGGACATTCCTCCACTACAGTACTTGTGACACACTACTCCCAATCTTAAGTACATGAAGGCCTGTTGTGTATTAATCAAAAAAGTATAATACTACTATAGTGATAATAAACATGATAGCAACTAGTACCTCATAATTTTTAACTATATTAAACTTGAAGACAAGGTCATGACATCGACCTTAATCATTACCGCCAATCAGATCCATGTGCCTATTGTCTTATTTGATTTGCTTACAGAGGAGTATACTAGCATTAATCTAAATCGGATGACTTGATGAATCGGACTTTTTGTGCTTAATTTACCTTGGTAATTTATACCCACTTAGTCTAGTAATGAGCCAGGCCTGAGAGGAGGTGATGACATCACTGGCTAGATAAGGCATTAGCAATGACTCTATTCAGATTCTTCTGTTAGTTTTTATTCAAGATTATTGTTAACACATCTTAACGCACAGCAAATTAATAAATCATATAACATTGTGTTTTTAAATTGATAAGTATTTAAATACTGTTGCACTTTCCATTTGATTTCAATTTATTCAAAATATCTCTGGAACGGAGAAGTGAAATAGTACAAGCAAACCATACAACTCATATACCTATGATATTTATATACTAAAGTTAATCATCAATAGTAAAACTATATAAATGTTTGTTACTTAACCAGTGAAATTATTTGATCATATATTTTTCTTATTTCATCTGTTTCACATTCTAGCTAAGTACTGTAGTTGTTAATGTATTTGTGAAATTAATCAATTATGTTATATTTATGGAAAAAAATTCTGACAATTTGTTTTTCTACTTTCTTTTTAAAATTAATTATCTTCCTTTAATACATTTGGACAAAGTCTTAATGATTATTTATAATTGAACAAAAATGTAGAAGTTCTTGTTTTGCCTTCAGAACATATTATTTAATTGATTATTATTTTTAGTAAAATCCACTACATATCAATTAGTGATTATTTATGGTAGAAAAATCTACAATATTTTTACCACAATTCCTTCCTCATAGTTTTACTTAAGTATTATTTTCTCTAGAAAGTTCAAAAGGTTATCCTGTCCTGGTTTTTGCATATGAGTACCAGAGACTCCATTAGTTTTCCTCTCCTATGAGTCTGTCCTATTAATCAGCTGCATTCCAATAATTCCAGAAAAAAATAATGAGCCCAAACCTAGAATTTTATCTTTTGTACACCTTGGATGACCTGTAGTAAACCAATTCAACCTGGACGAGACATTGACCTGATGAAGGATGTTAAAAGATATATGTTTTGTTGGATTTAAATTTGTCATCCAAAACTTTATCAGTTTTGTTTTATTGAAATTGAATTGATTTAATTAGGATGTTGTGGATCCAAAATACTTATTGACTATTACTAACTAAATTAAACACAGTAAAATACGACAGTGGAATAATTGTCCAAAGCAAGCATGGAAATGACAGATGAATTAAACCAAAAATTAGTATTTTGGATGTTGATTGATTGACATCCATCGATGAAATCTGAATTTCATTTGTTCATTCATGTGTTCATTCATTTATCTATCCATCTCTCATTAATTTATATATTTATTCATCTACACATTCATTCATTCATTCTTTTATTCTTTCATTAGTTTATCCATTAATGTTTTTCTTTATTTATTCAGTCATTCCTTCATTTGTTTATTCATTTAATTGTTCATTCATTCTGTCATTCATTTATGTTCTTCATCAATTGACATTACACAAAAAGCTATATGTGTGCCTATAATTAATTCAAGATGGCATCTATAATATAAATTAATTTACGATAAAAAGGTTGATTTCAAATGCATAAAATATATTTGCTTAAAATATTGTACGAAGGCCTAGTAAATTACAATTAATTATTAATGAAATGAAATTATTATTTTTATTACAAAATCAAAAATATAAAATACAAAAAGAATTTGTTTCATTAAACACTGTTTAAATAAGTATAAAGAAATTATCATTGAACTGCTAGGCTACACTATGAAATTTTATTTGGTTTTTCACCTTAAAAAGATTAATTATTTAATCAATTAAATGAGTGACTGACATCTAAATAATGATTGACAAGTTCCCTAGGGTTCACCAATTTCCTGAACGGTTAGTTTTTTAAAAGCCAAATTTAGAAAATTTAATTTTATCAATGTCATGACAACTTGCAAACAATATTCACCAGGTATTTATGCAAGTTTTGGATTAGCAGCAAGTTCATATTAATTCTTTTGAATTACTTTAATGAAAACTACCTTGAAACACCTGATACCTGTTAATTTCCTCCTTATTTAATTTGTCAAGTTTAGTGGATAGTTTAAAATAATCCCAAAATAATATAATAATAATAATGTAATTTAATAATAAAGTGCGGTTCATCAAAATGTAATTAACAGCATTTAAAATGGTGAACCATTTTCTACAGTTTAATAATAAAATGTTATGGACCAAGAGGGCGCCATAACTAATGCAATATATTATTTTTATTTTTGATCTAATTTTTTAGGTGATCAAGAAGGAGAATGCCGAGCGCATGGTAATCTAGGTTCTGCATATTTCTCAACACGTAACTTTAAAGATGCTTTAACACACCACCGATTTCAGCTGGTACTAGCCATGAAGTTAAAAGACCGGAGTGTAGCAGCTTTAGCCTTAAGTAGTTTAGGTATGAACTCATAGTCATATTTCTGTCAACTTTTTTGGGGAATTTATATCATGAATTTGAATATGGAAGATATGTTAATGATATTTTTCTATTTTTTCAATTATTAATATTTTATTTACTTAGGTTACATCGTAGTAAACTATTTTTATTCATTTATTTACCATATTCCAATTATTTTTTTTTCGTTAACATTACAAAACATTAAAATATTTTCAAAAAGGAACAGATGGAGGAGGTACAAAGATTGGAATATCCGATGACATTGTAAAGATAAGTGTACAGACAAAATGTTCATTGAAACAACCAAAAAACCACTGTTGCTCAAAATATCTTTTATAATAATCCCGTAGTTCCGATAATGTTCAAAAATCTTGGAAAAAATCATATCATTGAGATATAAATGTTACCATATCATAGTTTATTTTCCTGCTTCCAATTCATAATTTAGGAATGTACATATGCATTGTTCATGAATAATGCTGAATCATAACCCTTTTTTTTTCTCTTTGTAGGTCATGTATACACATCTATAGGAGATTACCCAAATGCGTTGTCAAGTCACAAACAATGTGTTCTGTTAACACAACAATTAAATGACAAACAATTTGAAGCCCGAGAATCTGGTGCCGTTGGCGCTGTGTACTTAGCCCTTGGTGATTTTGAAAATGCATTGGACTGCCACCAAAAGCACCTTGAGATTGCCAAAACCTTGGAGAATAAAAGTGAGGAAGCGAGAGCGTATAGTAATCTAGGAAGTGCCTATCATTTCAATCGTGAGTTTTCACGTGCTATGCAGTACCACAATCAAGTTTTGGTAATTGCAAAAGAATTGCAAGATAGGACCATAGAGGCACGTGCTTATGCCGGCCTAGGGCATGCTTCCAGATGTCTTGGGGATTATACCCGGGCTAAAGAATGCCATGAGCAGCAGTTAAACATTGCCTTGAGTACCAAGGACAAGACAATGGAGGGTAGAGCCTGCTCAAATCTTGGAATTATTAATCAACAGCAGAATCATTTTGAAAATGCCTTGAAACTTCATAAAGCCCACTTGACAATCGCATCTGAACTCAACGACAGAGCTGCCATGGGGAGAGCGTTTGGGAACATGGGAAATGCTTACAGTTCTCTTGGACAGTTCGAACAAGCTGTTAAATACCACAAACAGGAATTAGCAATCTCTAAGGAGGTTAATGACCTCGGTGCAGCCGCATGTACTCACGGAAACCTTGCAGTAGCATATCAATCACTGGGGATGCACGAGAAAGCGTTAGAACATTATCACTTACATTGGAGTCTTGCTCAGAAACTGAAGGATGAACCGAGTATAGGAAGAGCACTAAGTAACCTTGGAAACTACCATTGTTCTCGCGGGGAGTTTACTCACGCCATTCCATTCTATGAACAGTACCTTGCTGTATGTGGAAAACTGAAAGACTACAGGGGTGAAGGAAAAGCATGTCATAATTTAGGGTACTCCCATTATTCAATGGGGGATTATAAACAAGCCGTCCAATACTATGAACAAGATTTGGAAATTGCGAAGGATTTAAATGATAAGATCAGTATGGGTCGTGCATACTGTAATCTTGGTTTGGCTTACAGGACGTTAAAGAAATTTGATGAAGCAACCGAGTGTCAGAAATATTTTCTAACCATTGCACATCTTTTGAAAAATGCTAATGGGAAATTTCGTGCCTTAGGCAATCTTGGGGACATATGCATGGCAACATCAGACACAAGTGGTGCTATCAAATTTTACGAACAGCATTTGATTCTGGCAAAGCAAGTGAAAAATAAGACTCTCGAAGGTAATGCATATGGTGCATTAGGAAGCGCTTACAGAAAGATTGGAAAGTATGATAAATCATTGAGTTACCACACTCAGGAATTAACCATTTACCAAGAGATAAGTGATGTAAAGGGGGAATGTAAAGCACAGGGTCATTTAGGGGCTGTTTACATGTTACTTTGCAAGTTCTCAAATGCATTCAATTGTTACAGGGAACAACTAGAGCGAGGTCAAGATCTCCAAGATCTTTCAATACAAGCTCAAGCCTTTGGTAATCTTGGTATCACAAAGATGAATATGAACCAGTTTGAGGAAGCTCTTGGATATTTCGTAGAACAGTTAGAAATGCTCCAGCAATTGGTAGGTAACACAGCACTTGGTGATCGAGGTAGAGCTTTTGCCAATATGGCCGAGTGTTACGAAGCCTTGGGAGATTATGAGGAAGCTGTGAACAATTATGACAAGTACCTTTTAATAGCACAAAAAACTAACAATGCCGAGGAGCAAGATAAGGCTTACCTCGGACTTGGTACAATCCATAGAACTGTTGGAAATCTTCAACAAGCTCTTTTCTGTTTTGAGAAGCGGTTGATGGTGGCCCATGAAATGGACACCAGTACTGCTAAGGGTAGTGCATATGGTGAGCTTGGATTCTTACACAGCCTAATGGGCAACTTTGAGCAAGCCATCTCATGTTTAGAACACCAATTAAAATTGGCAAAGGACATGAATGATAAAGCCGGAGAAGCAGATGCTGCTTGTGGTCTTGGTGGAATCTACCAGCAGATGGGTGAATACGAGAAAGCAATCAACTTCCACCAGATAGACCTGGAGATTGCTGAGGAGACAAAAAATTTAGCTTGCCAAGGAAGAGCATTTGGAAACTTAGGTGTGACAAATGAATCACTTGGGAAATACCAGAAGGCAGTGATGTATCAGGAACAGCACTTAAGCATTGCAGCACAGGTAAATGACCATGTAGCGAAGAGTCTTGCTTACAGCAGTCTTGGACGTATTCATCATGCTTTGGGCGACTACGAAAAAGCAGTAACCTATCTTCAACAAGGCCTACAAATTGCAGATCAATTAGGACGCAAGGAAGATGAAGCCAAGATTAGACATCGGCTTGGCCTAGCTCTCTGGTCCAACAAAGAGCTTGAGGAGGCACAACATCAGCTCTACCGTGCGGCCGATATCTTTGAAAGCATACGCCGCGAGATCCAGAATGGCAGCGAGTATCATATCACTCTCTTTGATATCCAGAGTGCTTGTTACCAAGCTCTGCAGAAGGTATTAGTTGAGTTGAAACGCACCGATGAAGCACTTGTCGTCGCAGAGCGTGGCAAGACACGTGCTTTCATTGACCTCCTTTTGGAACGTCAGATGGAAGGTGCAGATGTGATGGATACAATGCTCCTCACAAAGGACCAGATATTAGATGCAGTAAATCAACAGGAGGCAGCTGTATTGTATTTCTCCATAGCAGCAGGGCACCTTTACAGTTGGCTTATAACCCCAAACAAAGGTGAGTATTTATTCCCTTGGTGTCATTTTGCTACTCCATGTTACATCATTTATAGCTTAGATTCAGGAAGTTGTGATGTGATGAAAGATTTGGTGAAGGACCTAGGTTAATTTATTAGGATTGGTATAAACAGATTTATAAAAGGACTCAGCAGGCATGGATTTATTATCATATTATTTACAGTATTTCTGTCATGCAAAATGATTAATATATATTAAAAATAAATTACATACTAGAAATATATTTTTTCGTTTAGGTGATATTGGAGTAAGTTAATCTGTTTATATAGTCATACTGTAGAGTTTACACCCTACATATAGATGAGTAAACCAATGAAAATACTTTTTGTGATCAAATTCTTAAAATCTTCTTTTCGCTCATTTAAATACATTCATTGAATCTGAAATTAAGTGTTAAGTGAAATATTTTGATTTTTAAAATAGATTGCTTGAAACGTACATGTGCCAAACACAAAAAAATTAATGCAAAATGCACTAAATATTAGCGACTAAAATGTGTCTGAAACAATACAAATTATTTCAAGGTTGTGTAAAACTCTAACACTGTGCTGAACTAATAAACTTTATATGTTTTTATACAGTAATTTGAAATAAGTTATTAATCTTTCAATTAAAAAACAAAATTAAAAATTAGGGATTTTTTTGGTAGTAATTTAGCTGTAAATTGATGAAAATTGAATTATTCTTGTCTGTGTTTCATTGAAATAATAGTTTAATTGATCTTTTCAAATGAGTGATTAACTGTTTAACTAGAATTTTGAAGGTTTTTGAAAATATGATCCATTTATGGTAATATATTTTTAAGACTTTGTATTTGTATTAAACTCTCAATTTCACGGACATAATTATTTTATGTACACAGGTATCGTAAAATTCCACAATTGTAATGTAAATGATCTGGAGCTTGACAATATCGCTGATGCGGCAGATGGAGAAGAGATGCCGGCAAACACTGCCATCAACCTCACCACCACCACCAATTTTGACCATTACATAATGCATGCACGGGAAGCACTCGGTGTTGACAGCCCAGGAAATCAGAGCAGAACCAGTGACATCGCAAGTGAAACTGAGAGCGAAGCTGATGATCTTCTCCAGCAGCATCTGGATGAACTCAGTGGCAAGATCTCTGTCGATGGTGATAAGGTTGCATTCCTGCGGATGGTGAACCGCGGTCATCGTTTAAATAGCAGTGGTCACAGTCTCAGTAGTATGATGTCGCAGTTCAGTGGAAGTCTTGGTGTTAATGGTACTGTTGTTGCTCACTCAAAGAAGAGATCATGGTCCGGTCGTCCGCCACTCAGAGTGTTGTATGACATACTTATTGGTCCAATGAACGAAGCCCTGGTGGAGGCACAGACGGAAGATGGCGGACCGTCAGAATTGGTTCTTGTTTTAGAAGGTATGGGTTTCCTTTACGTTGTTATTTATTGAGGATAATTTGTATATTTTTTTTAAATAACCATGCTGATGTTGAGCAATATATTTCACATTTTAAAAGGGTAATTAATTACAATTCGTTCACTTTACATATACAGTTTGTTAATAAACTCCAAACCTGCTATTTGATTTTAACTATTGTTTCATTAAATAAGTATGCCTGTTAAATTGAGTTGGTTTTATTGTATTTATGTATATTTAATTGCTTTCACATTCCTGATAGGCGATCTTCATCTTGTACCATTTGCTGTACTGAAAGGCAGCTCTCCAAGCCGATGTCTATATCAGCGTTTCAATCTCCGTGTAATTCCATCCCTTCGATCACTCTCCCCTAAATGCATTACAAGAGGTGCAAATAATACCAACTACACTACGCCAGCGTTGGTAGTAGCCAATCCTATAATGCCTCAAGTAGTGACTGACAGGTGGGGATGGGGAACGCTGTCAAATGCTGAACAGGTAAGCTAATGGTTTTGTTTTATTGGCACACCTTCTGTATTTATTCCCATGGAAATTGAAGCATAAATGTTTATCTATTATTATTATTGGATGGTAATGATTTTTGATAAAAAAATAGTAGAATACATTTAAATACCATAATGATTTTTATGTTTGTAATTGCATCATGCCTAAGGATTTCATATTTACATATATGACTGTATTCTATATTCAAATTTCCATTGTCAAAATATTAACTTTTTATTATTTCACTTTTTTTTTTATGTCTACAGGAAGCTTTAGTAGTATGCGAGCAAGTAGGAGTAAAGCCATTGCTAGGATCATCAGCCACCAAGGATGCAGTATTAGAGGCAATTTCAGGCGCAGAATGCATCCACTTTGCTACTCATGTTTCCTGGAAGCTCTCTGCACTTATTCTCTCACCAGGGACAAATGCTTTCCAGGAACAAAATGCTAAAATGACCAGGTACCAATTTATTTCCACATCATAAGTATTAGCCAATGAAATTGAATTGGCAGCTACGAATCAGGACGTAATTCCACAGGACATGGAAACATTAAGGGGGAGGGGGGCACTGCATGTGTCTATATGGACATTGCTGCTGAGGAATTTATGAAGAAAGCCACCAGAGCAAGAACCAGAATTCAGTTAACATATAACTAATTAAATAATGATAATACTAATAATTATGATAACTGTGTACCTATTATGATTGGCTGGAAACTATGGAACAATTTTTGCCTTAATTTTATTAATATTCATTTTACATCTTATGTTGTACTTTTATAGAGCAAATAAACTAAATGAATATAATATTATGAAATTGTTTACATATGACATTTTTTCTTCATATTATCTGCATTTCAGAAATGGGCTACTGTTGCCAGAACGCATGGACTTTAATGATAGTGATGACAGTGATCTGGAGAATGCTGACTTGCCTGCTCTTTCTGATTTTGTACTCTCAGCTGCAGATATCCTTGATCTCCAGTTAACTGCAAAGCTTGTGGTATTAAGTGCATATGGTAGTGATGGGCGCAGTGGAAAGATCAATGCAGAAGGACTCGTTGGCCTTGCAAGAGCCTTCCTAGCTGCTGGAGCACAAAGTGTTCTTGTCCCTCTATGGCCAGTACCGGAGCTTGCCACCAAAATCTTCATGAGGTCTTTGTACGAAGCCTTACTGCGTGGCTTAAAGACTAGCAATGCAGTGAGTGAAGCGATGCAGAAGGTGCAGGAGACGAAGCAGTTCACACATCCATCCAATTGGGCTGGTTTTATGCTCATTGGCAACAACATCAAGATCAGTAACAAGAGCACAATGTTTGGTAATGCACTGGCTGATCTTCTAACAACACCTGCAAAGTGCCGCGAATCTCTGAGAGTTCTCCTGCATTTGGTAAGTACTTTCAACAATATATATGAAGCATAATGGGAATTTCTCACATATTGGCATATTCTTTTGTTTATGATTTAAAGCAAGTGTCGCCGTACCAGTCTGGACCCTTCCGGAAAGTCAATCAAACTTAACAACTGACCAATCAGAACAGGGCCAGGAATATGCGCATGTCTAACAAGCACATGTGTTGTCCTTAGCAACAGTATCCAAGGGGAGGGGCATAGCAGAAAGTCCATTGTGTAGAGAAATGTGAGGGCAGTATTTCATTGCACATATAGTTTTTAATTGAAAACAAATGGAATCTTCTGGATCCAAAACCTTTAATCTGGACTTACCTATATTTGAATGCACACTATAGCTTTTCAATCAGAAATTAGTTACAGAATTTGACCAGCTGTTTTTTTAGATAATATGTTATAATGCTTCTATTTTGGAAAACTGTATGCTATTGATACTTTGTTTTCATATATAACCAACCTTATGATGTAAAATACTTGCACCTAAGACATTATCCAATTCAAGAATATTCATTTGGTATAATACAAATTATATAATAATAATAATACAATTCTTATTTCTGATAGATTGAGAAATCATTGCAGCGAATCAACCGTGGACACAAGAACCCAATGTATACAACAAAACAGAGCATCATCAAGAAGGTTGGACCCGTCATTGGCTGGCAGGAACTCCTCAAGTCTGTTGGATTTAGATTTGAGGAACCGACCAATGGCTTACCTCCGTCCGTTTTCTTCCCAATGGCCGATGCTGGAGACAGGCTTCTTCAAGCTAGTACAAGCCTACAGGCGTTACTAGGTTAGTTATTGTATTATTTTGAGAATGTATTCGGTAGTATGACAATTGTGTGTGATGGAGATATTGATGGAGAGAATGCAGGATAGTTCCGGTGGCTAAACTGCTCAAAGCTACTGTGATCGTCGTTAATAATCTGTTTCTGTGTTAGCCTAAGGGCAAAAATTCAAGGTACTATGGTGATGACAAAAATATGAGTGATGAAGATACCGTAATAGTGCACCATTTTTCAGAAAAGACTTTTAGGCAATGTGACCCATGTACATTATGCCATTTGTTCATGTTTTCACCTTATCAAGAGTAAGGTGTTTGTTTCCAGGTGTACAGACCAAATTATCGCTAACCTTGCATAGAAATACGTTGGAGATAATGGTAAAATAATTATGGGGTTGATGATATGTAAATGATGAGGTAATGATTGTGATAATGTAGATCATAATTTAGATTTATTTTTTATCTTAGTGCACCCATTTTCTTTCTAGTTGTCTCATGAATATTTGATTATTTTTTTTCAAAACTTTTGAAGGATTGACTCCAACTTCTGTGATGGCGCTCTCCAAACTGCTTGTCCACCCTGAAGCTGCAGAAGAAATTATTCAAATGGTATGTGTCTTTTTATAAAAATATTTTATTTAAAAAAGATTCTAACCTCAGTTAAGTGTAATGTTGTGTGTTATATATGTGAGGTTTGCCATCCCAAAACCAGCGTACTGTGGCTAAATGGCAGTAGTAAGCCAATTCCAGTAAATGACCTTCTGTATCATTTTAAAGCTTATAGTGTGGAGAGAATATATTATAAAGTCAATTTTTTGTTTTGGTAACTGGTGTTGGTTTTGGCATGTCAAGTCCCGTATATATATTAAGCCTCAGACACCCAGAAAGATGAGTTATCAAACCGCTTTAAAAAATTCATGTTAAGGTGTCAGGCAAGTGGAATTTGTTAAGCTGTTCCACAGCTTAGAAGCTGCAACTGTAAAAGTTAGCTCATTGTATGTCTTGAGGAGATTGCGATCATTACAATAACAGAAATCAACAAATACCTTCTCACATCACTTCAAACATGAGTTACTATTTCAAATATTGTTTTTGATTTTGGCATTATTTGTTCTAACAACCACCTTGTCAGCCTTCCTTTTAATCACAAAATTTTATTAGTCTGTATTTAGTCTCTGAAAGGCTTAACTACTGTTTTTATGTTGTGCATTTAGCTAATTTTTTTTAAAGGTACATGAGCTAAATAGCTATTGATAGATGGTTTAATGTACTGTATACATTGTGCTTGGCGCTTGCTAGATTTATGGGAATCTTTTTAACATATTGAACTATACCTTTACGGTTTATACATACTCTTCCATCTAATAAAATATACAGACACAGAACAGGACTTGAATATTTCCATCATCAAGTTAATAAATAATGTGTAAATTATAGACATCAAAGGGGTACCTTGGTTCCTTAAACAATACTGTCTGGTTTGATCTAGCGTACTTGACAATACAGGCATTGCAATTCTATACTGTATTTGCTTATCTTCAAAAAAGAAGATAAACAAAAAAAAAAAATCTTGACAATAAATTTAATAATATTTAATTAAATTAAATTTAATTTAATTAATAATATTTAATTATTTTATTCACCAAATAATGTATGGTACTTAAATAATGATGTTCTTATATTCCTTGCATCTCTTAAAGTTGATGGTTTAAGGATTTTTACTGTATTTTTGTTTTGTTGTTGTAAATCTGCAAAAAAAACATTTTTTTATATCTCATTATTTGATTCTTTTAAATAAACTCATATTAATATTATTTTATAATAGTGTTTTATTGATATTGATTTATATTTTGTTAATTGTTACAGCTATCTTAAAGCCAAGCTGAACTGAATATTATTTTAAAATATTTCGTCAGATGCAGTGCCCTCTTGGGCATGAAATTTTCTAACTATATAGTATAAAACCGTCTTTGATAATACCGTATATTCTCGCATATAAGGCAGTTCGCGAATACGATGGCACCTGAGTTTCAGAAGATTTTTAGACAATTTTTGTATGGCGGGCCTATAAGGCAACCCCTTTTTCACCATCGGAATTTCTACGTTTTTCTGCTCTTTGTGGTCTTGATACTGAATCTAGCTGGCTAAAAACGAAGCCAAATGCTGGGCTAATTTTCCAAATAATACCATTTTATGGGCTTTTAAATGTTCATCAAAATCTTATTTTTCATTTCATTTCATTTATTTCGCCAAATAGATATAAATATATAAAATATACAAATATAAAATTTCAAAAATAGTAAATGTTGTCATGTGACAGGATTGCCTAAAAGTAGAAGATCTACTGTCGAGGGGCTCTCCATGACAACAAAAATACAATATCGCAATTCTATATACATAATTTTAAAAAATATTATAAACATTAAAATGCAGTACGGTATAAGAAACATAATATAATTACAAAAAGATTAAAAAGGCCTAATAAAAAGTACGGATAAAATAAACCACAGAGAGAGCAATCGAGCAAATTCCCAAATTCCCTGCATTTAAAATTGCATTCATTCATACTAACAGTTAGTAACTTCATTTCAGCATTAAATTTGCATGTTATGGACGACCTGCACATAAGACGAACATGATTTTAAAATAAAAAAATTGTATGTGTTGCGCGTACAAGACAGACCCCTGTTTTACTAACATAATTTGCTATTTTAAGCCTCGTCTTATACACAAGAATATACAGTAATTGGTAATTTCAAAGTTGACTATATAAATTTAATGTAGTTTTTCTTGTGTTCAGCTCAGCTTCAATCATGTGGTTTTCACTGAGTTTCAAAATAAGATAGGTGGTCCTAAGAGATATTAAGTACATTTAGTGTCTGTCTGCAAATTATCATTTTATTTTCAGTACTGTCTTTCAATTTCCTTTAATCTTATCTCCAAGTCCAGTTCAGAATTCAATTTCCCAAAACTCACAACAATAATGTTACTTCTCTTTGTAATTTGTCATAACATTGAACTCTTTCATATAGTAAATTGATATGTACACTAATATTCATTTCAGTTACGACAAGTGTTAGATAAATATTCCCGTGATAGAGATTCTCGTGAAATCGGGATTCAAGTTCCAATCAACACAAAACTATGGAGAACACCCGGATGCCATGAGCTTCTCGCATCGCTCGGTATGTAATGTTCTTTCTTGGATTCAATTTTTTTTTACATTTATATTGGATATAAATGGACCGTTCCAGTATTAAGCCCCGCCCCTTGGATATTGTTGCTAACGTACCACAAAACTACAGCGCAAACTTACATAAACACGGGGGATTGTGCGACAAGCGCATATTTCTGGCACTGGTCTGAGTGGTTACTTTTTGAAGTTGCTTTACACGCCAGAAAGATCCATTGTGAATATGAACTGTAAGAATAATAATGATACAGAAATGTGTACTACGCCTTTTGCCAAGAGACACAAGGTGCAAAAAAAAAAAAAAAAAAAAATTAATTATATAAAAAATTAATGACTCGATGATGACAATACAAGGACTGTTTTTATTGAATCAATTCTAATACTGTACAAGTAATACTAAAAAATAGGTAAAATATTAAACTGCAAAATTGACATTAAAAGATATTTTATGTACTGGAATTAGTATTAATAGAGATACCCACAAGGTACACAGCAGCCAATATTATGAGTGACTGTCTACAAATAATTATGTATCTACACAGTTTACTAAGGTTCAGTTTCATGTTATAATTGCAGGCTTTGATTTAATTGATGTTGGTAAAGAAGAGGTGCTACTCATCACCGGTAAACAAGTCAGCCGCCGCATGCTCAACTACATTCTACAGTCGTTGCTTGCTGTTTTCGGTAAACATTTTTTAAACATGTTCTGTTCAAATTCAGATTGATTCAAAAACCAACCCTCCAAGAGGAGGCCACATACTAATATATTAAACAAACAAAAAATAGATACAAAAATATTCTGAATGTCAAAATGTAAATGAAACATTAAAAATAAAATAATAGTTTTACATTTATGTAGAGTATATTGCACAATGTCTTTATGCGCTTTACACCAAATTTTGCTCTTGCTAGATAAAATAATAGTTGAGAGTTCAACGGGACATAAAATGTCCTCGCAATTGTTATAATTATGATTATGACACTGATGCATTTGTATGTATCTTATAATGACTAAATCAACAGGCTAAGATAGTTAGCTAATGACACTTTTTTTTTCTTCCAGATCCTGCTCAGGCTCCTACGTCTCTTCCATTAGAACGTTCACCATCTATGGAGAGTCTAGGATCCTCTCATTCTGGTACCTCAATGTCAGGGTTATCTGGAAGGTCTATAGGTGCTATGTCTGGACAGTCCATCATTTCTAGTCATTCCATAACTGGGACTCCTCCAATGCCACGCAAGCCTGCAGTTGAACGTACCGTAAGAAGCTTGAAAGCAAAAACGGCAAAACGCAGACTACCGATCCAAACATCCACGCCAATGGGTACCAATCTGTATAACAGGATGCCACTTAAGTCAAACAATAATCCCATGTTAGCTTCTGCCACATCTTTTTCTTCACTACCACCCAAGTCGATAACATCATTGAAGACTAAAAATAATCTCTCACCGGGAGCGCTAACAAATAAAATTAACAGAAATGAGCCGTCGGTGGCGCCAAACATTGCATCACTGCTGTATGATGTTGACGATAACAATTCACACAGCAGTGGGGGAAAGTTGAGCAGTAAAGGAACGTTGGATGTACTACCAGTGAGGTCACCCTACTCATCTAAGGAATCACTTCTTTCTAATGGAAAATCTTCAAAACATATCATTGGAAGTGTTAACCTTGGATTTCAAAGTGATGAAGAAGAGGTTCTGAAACCTTCATCGCCTGCCAAAAGTAAACAGACTGTAACAAGACAAAGTCCCATTGGTAGTGTTGGTCATAAGTTTATTGAAAACGAATCTAGTTCTAAAAGTATGAAGCTCCGTGGGTCTGGAGACGGTGTGATGAGCAGCTCGAGTCCGCGCAGAAAGGGTTCACGGTCATCGATCTCCAGCGATAGTGATTCAATCGTGATGAAGATATTAAAAGACACTATGCCACATATGCATGCTGTAGATGTGATGCAGCATGAGGGAACCAGATCTAAACAGCCCCCTCTTGAGTCTGTAACAGCAGATATTGAAACAACTTTTTCAACACGTGCTAGTGAATCTTTGAAAAGTATTGCCGAGTCAAAAGTAAGTGATGTGGAGTACATCGATTTAGGAGAGAGTGTACCGGTAAAGAATAATCCGATGACATCTTTGAAAAAAGAAGAAAATTTCAGACAAATATCACAGAAGAAAACAGATTTGAATCAAGTCAAAGCTACTAGCAAAAAGACTGATGTTCCTAAGGGAAATGTTGCTTTGAAATCTAAACCTATATCACCATACATCAAACCTAACCCTCCCAATGGATCCAATGCAGTTCCAGTTCAGTACAAATCACCACCAAATTACAAAGAAGCTATCAATAGGAATAACTCCAATGTCTCTTCACCTAGGAAAGGATCCATTGGACCGACATCTCCACAGCCACCAAACTATTATTTACGACGACCCAGTAGTGCACAAAGCACCAACAGCAGTATTTACTCTTCAACCTCATCCATTCCAAGCGTAATTCACGTACCGCCAATGAATGCATCACCTCACAACAGACGAGGCAGCGTTGATTCTGCAGACTCAGCTCAATCGAGCACTCCTAGTGCGCCCTCACCAACATGTAGCAACCATAGTAGTGGACAGTCGAGGAAAAGCTCGCTTAGTAGTTCAGCGAGTCCAAGCTCGCTGATCTTGAATGGGAAACCAAGGATGAATGGCGCACCATTCAAAACAGTTCATTCTCCTAGAGGGAAAGCTGTCCTACACAAGGAGACTGTATTACGATCATCACAATGTTAAATTCTCTTGGCATATTCCCTATAGTATGTAGGTGAGCTGGATGCTTTTTAATCCAATCTTCCACCAACTTTGTTAATACCGCCCTCTTGTGACTGACTGACTTTGATGCAATCTAGAATACGGGAATCTCCACAGAGTAGACAACAAAACAAACAAAACAAAGAGTACCTTGTGAGCCTCGCAATGGTGGGAAGTATGCAGATGCTTGAATTTCATGATACATTTAGGCTACGTTCAAACTTGTAGATAAGCCAGGCTTACGTTGAGCCTGGCTCAAGGTTAAGCCCGGCTTCACTCTGCCAGGTGTTCAGACTAGCGGGATTAGCCAGGCTCGAGTATTTGCATATTATTGAACCGTAACCGGGAAACGAGTTTCCAAACATTGCGTTCGAAACGTACGCTCGCTCACAGGACAAGTAATTTAATGCTGATTGGTCATTTGTTTACCTGAAGTCAACGCAAGACATCCCCCACAGCGATTAATGCCCGGCTTAGAAAAGTTAAACACCGTGGCACGCCACGCCTAGTTACTATAGGAACACAGCCCGGCTTGAGATAAGCCACCTAGTTCAGACTGGCACGTGGATAAACCTGGTGAGTTGAGCCGGGTATATCCACCTCGTCTGCACTAGGCCAAAGCCTTAAACCAGTTCATCAAAAAAGGTTTTAGGGGTAAATAACGACAATTTTTCATCCACTGAAGTCAAATTACAAGACATGATCTTTAGTCTTAGGTCAAGTATTTTTTTAAGCATCAAGTGCTTTCACCAACAAATCAGTAGCACATTTGCGAAATATTAAATCATAAAATATATTCGAAAGCACCCAAAATGGCCTTGTTCTCTTGTATTATTTAGCAGTCGGACCTTTAATGATTAGTCACTGATTATCGTACAAATTCAATTCAGCTTTTATTACCTAAGTGTATTAATCAGTTATTAGCAGTTAATTAGGAACATTTTAATCTGTTTTGGGTGCTATATGTATTTCCAAATGGATGGATGCTAACCCCGGTGCCATGT